GTGGACATCTCTCATCAATTTGCAAGATGCCGTAGCACTCGACGATTGGGAAAAAAAATGGGGCTCAGCAGAGACAAACAATGGGCCAGCGTCAAGGAAAGAAAAGAGGAGAGGGTAAATGGGGGGGTTATGTTACGGTTTGGCCGTTGTCTGAGCTTATGTGGATACCTAAGCGTATTGTTGAAGATTCATGTTGTAAGACTGTAAGGAAATGATAGAGGAAACTGGAAGATACGGCACTACCAGCCAAGGGGCCAGATCAGTGTCACAGCGTAGTGATTCTTGATAATATGTGGCTGTGTGGCAAGAATTCGGCCTAGGGTGAAGAAATCAGTCAAGACAATCAGTGAGGGGCTGAATATTATAAATACCCGTTAGTTGTTGCTAGATTTCTCTTTCTTCTTTATACAGTTTATTAAATCGACATTATCATCACGAACTCGGGGTTCCCGTCACAGTATGTGAGTCGGAAGGGAACGGTAACGGTACTGGGGTGTCTAATCAGTTCTCTCACGAATATTTAGGACTTTTAGCTCTAATATTGTGCCATAGCTAGATAGCTGAATACATATTAATAGATTTAAAAAAAGCTAAAATATCTAATTCTACCCTATTAACGCCCCTGATCATCATTATTAGTCTAAAACTGTTGTGCTGGCTCGGTTGAGTTATTAGGAGACAGGGGAACGGAGGATGGGCTGCTGGATTAGGAAAGGGTGGAAAATACAGGCTGGTGCACAGACGCTGTTCATGTACTCTACAATCTCTTCACGTGCCGAGTTTAGTGAATTAATCTATCCATATAATATTATACTTCACATCATCCATTAGATGATATTATCAATCGTTGGGATGCACATCTAGCATCACCTTCATAGATCACTATTGTCAGTAAGAGTTCACATTTGATACCTACTGACACCCATTTGGCCACAGTGATACGCACTCAGTGTCCATCGTGCCATCACCCAGCGTGAGCGCGCCATCTCCGCGACTCATCTTTGCACATGAGCCCGTATAAGTCCACCGACGGACAGCAGAGACATAATTGCTATATACCTCACAGCTCATAACCACAACAAAAATGCCTCCACGCAGATAGTGCTTTCGCTTTTGGACTGGATCCTGACTTATGCTTGCACAAGTCAGCTAATAATTATCTTTTCATTGGCAAAGTGCAATTTCAATTGTAGTGGGAACACCGCGCGTGTTTTCCTACTTGCCTCTTTTATAGGGCCGTGCGGATTCTCAGCTACGGAACACGAAAAGAAATCTGGGAAGTTGTGACTTCACTTGATGGTAAAAATATATAAATATAGCTTTGATTCTCTATTCTATCCAACAAAAGCTAGTAATACACATTTGATTCTTAGTAATCAAATCCATGCTTTTTACCTAAGCAGATACGCCCGTACTCCGAACACTATCAACTATATGAATATCTAGGACAATAAATTGATTAATTTTAACAACAGAAGTACCGCTTGATTTTTCTCTCTTGTTCAGTAACATCCAATGGTTCATTGACTGACTGGTGGTACAAATTAATTGTCCCATCTTCGTTGTGCTCATCTGTCGAACCTTTAGAGCTGGTTCGGAAGCTGTTATGATTGAGACTAGAGGTATCTGGAAGAATAGCTCGCACAGGAGCTTTCAATTGAAGTAAATAAAAAAGATGTAATTGTCTGTCTGTCTGTCTTCCTTCCTCTTTCTCTCAGCTTATATATCTACACATATCTACTGGCTGACATATGAAGATAATATCTAGAAATAGCTTACTTACATCACAGGACACAGTCCAAAAATTTTGTAGCCAAGATGTAATCCTAAACCGACTCAATACCAGTCCACCACGTCTGTCACACGGACTCCAAGTATTTTCTACCTTAAAATTACCCAAAACGCCAAGGTTTTCCTGAGGCAATCACAAATTATGTCAGGTACCAGCTTGGCATATTATTTTGAAAATAATATTACGATCATGTTAGAAGTATGGAACTTACATGAATCACGAAACATTAAGTCAGGAATACGAATTCCATCGGGCTCTGATCTTGGTCTGACATCATCATTGCTTAGATTTGGTGTCGTTTCATAGAACTGCGCCGAGGTATAGGGTCTCATCTTAGGCTGGAACACAATTGGCCTGGTTACGGGTCGCGAGGCGCTGTCTGCTGAGAAGTCAAATAGCTCCTCCGGGAATGGCTTTTTTTTCAGATGTCCCTGCTTCTGAAGATTGGAAGGTGACTGAAATTTTTTAAGTAGTTTTTGTTTCGACGCCTTCATTTCTACTTACTAGTTTAGAAATTGAGGCGTTCATTGCGGACATTTGTTTCACTAGAAGAGACATTTGTGATTGGGTCTCTTCGAACCTTTGATCTATTCTACTGGAGAGATCTTTTGTCACTGCATTTTCAGCTTCAATAGCTTTGGAATATTCTTCGTTGGCTTTAGTTTGCCCGGCAATGTGATCCTTGATCAAGCTTTTCAACTGAGCATTAATCATGCCGACCATGATGAATGAATAGGTAGTGAAATACGTAGAAAACATGGAGATGTCTTCAATTGGGGTGACCTAGAATTCTGAGATTCTCTCTATCACAAACCATCTCTGGGATGTCGTGTCGCACCCAGGCAAGGAGTCATGACGCACATACATTAATATGATTTAGGAATTGTAATATTTACAGTGCTGTGAAAGTGTCACGGTTTCATTACAAAATGCATGAGCGATCTTGTTGTTGGAAAATATACTCTGTACGATATTATAAGGATAAATATGATGAAGTAAAGAAAACTTGATATATTACAACTATGTGAACATTGGACTTATATATACATCTTAGGGGAGAAATTCCCACTAGTCTCATGTGCCTGTCAAACCTAGTGATGACCAGCCACCTCTCATCTACCATGATGATCCAAGGTACGCTGTAGTACGTAAATATCCAATTGTAAATGCAACAGTAGGCGCGATTAGCCCACTCGTGACATGTGTAGAGAGAGTCGATCTTGTCGGGAACCTGAGACGAAACAGGTAGTGGTTGAGTCCTAAATTAGAGAGTCAGAATTTCCAACACTCGTATGTGCAATATTTTAATTATAATTCTCTGAAGAGAAAATTCCTGTATTTAATTCCAATCTATATATACAGTCTGAAAACGCCTCTTTGATAAGGTTCTCTCTGTTACTTGACAGCTTAGACTCTCCGATAATCACCTAGAAGATCCTTGATACTCCTGTAACACTCACGAACTCTCAGTATGTTTCAACAAGGTTCAATGTGAATCATCTAAGTTCCCTGTCATCCAAGATCTTCTTAGGAACCTCCCTTCGTATATATATATAGTTCTTTACCCTGATTTGGCGCCTTGAGGCCCATGCACGTTTTTATCGGAAGATATGTACTTCAAGTAGGATCACTCAATTTGACGTTTAGAACACTCACACTCAGACTTCATTTGCAGATACCACTCGAGATTAACCCCTACGGCGTATAACCTCTTCCGTGCATACCCAACACAGGGAAAAGCGTGAAAAACCTGTGGCTATCCAAGTGTGCTTTCATCATCTCACAAGTACAATATCACCGCGAGAGAGAGTGGTGTGTGGGTCTGACTGGATTCGAACCAGCTTTCTCCTGTCTCGAATGGGGTAGGTGTTCAAGCTATCCAGTATCTTTTTGGGAGAACGGCCCGGATGGTGTACCACTGCACCATCCAACCCCTCCCTTCGTAGAATTGCCTGCACTAGACAGCGTAGGCTACAGGAACCCTTAAGCTTGACAGCCGTTACAGATAGCAACAGTTGCCATTTGGAGTACTAGTTAGTTGCTGTGTTATGGCTGTGGACCACTATACCCTTGGTTATAGTATTGATGCTCGTGTACTTAAGCTCTTGGACTGTATGTGTACTGTAGGTTTTTGTCTTGTAAATTACTCATGTTTTAGAATCTAATTATTAATCTTAAAATCTCGTCCTCATTACCGGCTGTGTCTTCGTCCTAGTCTTCGTCCTCGTTATAGTCTCGTCCTCGTCCGTGACAGGTGATCAAGTTGTTCAGGATGTTCAGGATAGTCAAAGCTCTAACTTGAGATCTTTTGATCTTCAACACATGTAATATATTTCAGATGTAATTTTGGGAAACGAGGAGAAGATAATCCCTCCTCAAAATAGTTTCTGATGGGGATATAGCATCACTGCTGGAGAGGAGTTGAGGAGCAGAGATTTCATCAATACAAGTTTACTTTACATTTTTCATTTGACCCTCAGTGTCAAACAAGTCCTTTGTTACCTATAAGAAGTGCAAATTGCCTGGAGTCTGAGACAGGACTGTCTAAAATTATGTTGGACCTCGCTATCCTTTCCCTGCCCTCGCGTGCTGAAAAGAGACGACGGTGGTCTTGAACTTGACCCCGATGGTCCAAATACCTGTGGTGGGGAATTGACCAGGGGTCGTTTCCGAGAGATATGTTGTAGTTCCGATTTTACTGGGTCAATAGTAATTCCTTCTCCTTCACCCATACCAGAGCTTCCTCAAGAGAGCGGGAGAGTGCCACACAGTTGCCATGGAGATCAGGGCCTGTTTTCAAAATGGACACATCATCTGCAAATCCGAATCATTTCCCCGCCACCTCCTGCTTAACTAGAAGTGATATGTAAAGTGTGAATAGGATGGGATAGACTGGCGAGCCTTGCGGGAAGCTGTAGTCTACTTCTTGCAAGGGACTTGTTTCTCCGTCCAAACATCTGCAAACTCTTCAGTTTGTTGCGAAAGCGCCCACTCAGCGTACGAGACTGTGAGGTTAGCCCTGTTCATGCGGCGGTGGTTACGCGACGGGTGCATTCTTTAATGTCAGACGAGGAAAGAGCTTTATTACTGATCATCATGTGTCCGACACGGATCTAGATTCACAAACGTTCCTACGTTGGGTAGATATTAACATCAATCTACAAAGTGAAACATTGAACTAACTCATTTATTTCTCCAAACACACGACATGTCAAACAACTTGGCACTTCAAGAATTTCTAGCGGAGAACCCATTGCGTCCGATTCGGGAGCGCTTCCAAACTAATTATAAGAAAGAGGGTAATGTTTATGCAGATAGGTTCCGTCTGGAAGCTAAAGGTTATCTAGATAAAAGAGCAGCTCTCAGAGAATTTATCTGTGAACTGAGTCCATACGCCAAAGTGAGTGGCAGCCACAATGGATCACTATTAATTGATTTGGATTTCTACGTGAATGGTATTTCGAACAAACAATATGAGCTCTCTACTTTTAACCATATCATTTACGCTATCGAACAAGATTATGAAGATCTCTTCATCTTGCAAACTTGCAGTAACCTCTGCAGAATCCTATCATTTGGCATACTTCGATCTGTTCCTTTTCAGAGAATCATAGCCTCAATCACTGACAGCAGTGATTTCTATTCACGCAAAGTTCCAGAACGTTTTATTAATTTTCCTGCAAGACCCACAAAAGTGATCGAATCGGAGCTTGGAACCAAAACGTTTACATATGTTTCAAGTTTCTGGGATAGATTTTTCGAAGGGAAATCTTGGTCTGATCAGACAAAGCGTATTTGGGAGAGCTATGAAAACTATAAAAATGACACTAACCCCAAAAACTTCCCTCTTAGCTTGGCTGAGCAAGGAATATGGGATTGGGTCGCTTCATTTAATAATCTATTTTTGAGCCAGCTTTCGGGAATTCCATCGCTACCATCCGAGCGATTTCCCACTCTCGTTCAAAAAGAGAATGATCTCTCGCTGCGGGGAAAAATATCCCTTTCATCAAAAATAGGAGGATTCCCTGAAGATGAAAATCAAGGACAGATTGATTTTCACATTACAGGTATTAGGTGGGATCGTAATTTTCCTGCATGGAAAAAAGTGCGGGCGCTCGGCGGGCTTTCTGGAAAACCTGTAAGTTATAGAAGGAAGACTAGGTTTATCCAACTGGCAGCTTTCGTTCGGGAAATTTTTAATCAGCAACCAGTCAGGCGGTTTGTGCACGGGTTCTACGTGTTCGACAAGGTAATTGAATTCTGGCTGATTGATCGAACCGGTGCATACAGCTCGGGCTTTATAAGTATTGAAAACAATGAGCAAGTTTTAGTTCGTGCCATCTGCTCATATCTACTGATGAGTGACGAAGAAGTGGGTCTCGATACAACGATTCGCAAAGTTGATGGACGGTCCATTATTACAATCTCTGATGGTGAGCCTGGGCAGACTAGAGAAGTTGAGATAGACCCTAAACCTGTCGGCCAGTCATCTAATCTGGTTTCACGAGGTACCACCTGCTACCGCTCAGTTGACGAGAAATTACTGGTCAAATATTCATGGCACAGGGTTCACGGGAAATCCGAAATTGATTTACTGAAAGAAGCTCTCCAGGTCAAGGGTGTAATCAGTCTGGTGGCATCAGAAACAATATACAAGCGGAGTGATGTCTGGGAAGATTTATCAGCTTTTATTCCTAAAAAATGGTACACGATGGAACACGAGAAATCGTCAAAGGACTCTGAAGGAGGGGAAATAGACAAGTATAAGACATTGCATGATTATGAAATGACTAGAGCCGTTATGTTACCATACGGACGGCCTCTTAAATCTTGTACATCGGTATTACAATTTCTTGTTGTCATACGAGATGCACTTATGGGGCACCGTGGCCTATATAACAAGAAAATTATTCATAGCGATATTTCCGACGATAATATCATTATAGTGGCACCAACAGCGGACGATAGATCAAGAGGAATGTTAATAGACTTGGATCTTTCAATCTCGGACCACGACACTTGTAACACGAGTATACGTGAATATCCTGTGGGCACATCAAAGTTCATGGCTCTTAGACAAGTGATGATGTGGGTAGGAAATATAATCGAGCGGAATTATAACTTCAATTCGTCTTATATTTTCGACCTAGAATCGTTTTTCTACGTGTTTCTAACAGGATGCGTTGAATATGGACGAGACCCTGATCTTCCATTGCACAACTTAAATTCATGGCGGGAAAAGGACGTAGATGATACACTTGAAAATAAGCTTGATGATATCCAGACGAATTTTGAGAACTTCATCAATACCAAGCTCTCAAGTAGTTTCGTTGATTTCAAGAATTTGGCCCTAGAGCTGCGTAAGATAATGTTTGGCAATACTAGATATTGTTCCAAACACCTCTGCGACTCTAATTTGGTATACAAGGAGATGATTAATGCATTTAATAGAACGATTGGACAAATTGAAGGTAAGATTGGTTTACAAATACATCGAAGAGCTACCTGTTACCATGAGAGACTAGCTGACAGACTATAATTTTTACTAGCTGGAAAAATCTCGAACAGATTTTGGACGGAGAAGAAGAATCAACAATATAATTATACCTGGCTAGATTCTTATTAACTTAATGCATTTACAGGATCCATTAGCAAAGGTGGAAAAGCTTTTGGGCTTTTGAAGTAGAGTTTTGTCAAGAAATTCGAATAATTGAAAAAAGCAAACGCCTGATAAAGAGCACTTCAGTGACTAAAATTTTACATTCTATTCACTTGATATGGTATATCTTCTTTTCATTTATGGCTAATCCAACTTGCATCCTGAATACATGTATCTCGAAATTTCACACCTGTGAGGCTGACGAGGTAGGAACTTGCTACCTCAAATTTTTGTTTAAAGTGACAATTATATCACACCTTGAAACTATTGGTGCAAACCATCACTCAAAGCTGTTGAAGCTTTGTCGTGGAGTGATAGATATGAGAGTGAGGTTTATGGGTCACGATGTATGAGATAACTGAGGTGCGGATGTATGAGTTCCTTACTATTGTTGTTGTACTAGGTAGGGTTGTATTGTCTATATACAAAAGGGATTTCTCTATCTACAAGTGGGCCAGATCGCTTAGATCTGGCTAGCGGCTTTCGCCATCTTCTTCCTTCTACCCCGCATGGCATCACGTGCTATACAACTACTGCTCACCATGAAGTCCGAGGATGAAAAGCGTTAGATTACAACAAAAGCTACATTGATAGAAAAGTAGTGGTCGTTATTGAAAAGAGTAGATCTCCTATTTTTGTGCGAAGCTGCCAATGATGAACCACACACCAATAAGGTAATCAGTGAAGTTATCGAGGCCTTTAACTCCCGCTGCAAACTCTGGGTTGAGCTCCAATTAACAGCGTATTGTATAGAGAAACGGGTCTTGGACATGAAAGTGTTTTGATATAATAGCATTGCATTCATAAGTTAGGTAGAAATTAGGTACTTCAACTCAGCTGACATGACACCGTAATGTCGTAAGAGAGACCTCAACTTGCTTGCAAAATATGCAGAATACTAAGTTCAACCAGCACACCACTAGTTAGTTTCTCAGGACAATAAATTAGCGTCGTATTTACATTTGTTGCAAGAATTAAATATTGATTCATTTCTAGAGAGATGGTTTTTGAAATTCTCCTTTTCATTACCATTCAATTTGTTCTAAGCCAAAGGCTATGGTATATGATCAGAGACTTGCACCCACGTAAGATAAGTCCATTGGCGTCAAAGTCACTCATAGGCTATCATGTAGAGACATGATTTATCCATGAGTTGGTATTGTTCAAAAGATCATGACTATATCACAACTTCATGTACAGACACGATTCATCGTTTGTACCTGTTGTATCAACCATGACTATGTCTCAGTGATAGGAGAAACATCATTGACTAGTTACTAGAAACCTAATCAAGATCCTAAACACACAACTGAGAATTGGAGAATATTACTGAGTAAGTAATTATTCTGATGAATCTAAATCTGGAGGAACATAATCTGGTTGCTTGGCTCGAGGTATATGAACCGGTGCATATCATGTATTATAAACCATATAGAAATCTATCTCGATCACAATCATAATCTTATTCATGTCACCATCAATAGCTGCATATGACAGTTTAACCATTTCCTTATATTAGCTAGACTTCATTTTTAAATACTACCATTTCGTATATCTACTTTTGTAGAGCAGTCAACCTTCCCCAAGGAGAACCTACCAAATGAGCATCCAAAGCCTTTTGTTGTTTAAAATTGTCTTTCTCGCCCATTAACGCCAACATGGCCAGAAGCAAGGTTCAGATTTGTGGGATTCCCACCTGCGATTTGCTGTCTTCATCGGGATAAGTGTCCGATATATCCTGACTCCTCAGGGGATGGGAACCCAGATGATGTACCACAAGACTATCCAGCCATGAGTCTTGATGGGGTCATCTGCAACCCCATGGTCGAGATCTTGTGCCTCCCAAAACTAGCGGAAAATCCTCTCAAAAATCAGATATCCCATCCTGCTCTTTAGACGACTGGTGAGTCAATTCATGTCCGTTACCTAATTCTTCTAATGTAAGCTGAGCGCAAAATTACGCAAAGCAAAGCCTCAAAAGCAGTGGCGTTCAAGTGGCTCTATGCTTAGCTGGTTCGATAGAATTGTTTGGAGACGAAAAAAGGACGGACGAAAGGGTTAAGATACACAGTCAGACCCTGTTAAGACGATATTGTCGTTTATGTTAGAATTTAGAATAAATGGGGCTATGAAATGGGCCACGTTGTTGATCTGCACGTGACTGAAAAATTTGAACTTAGTTTCACTTCGGTAGTCACTTGAATTAATGCGCTCTACAACCTCAATGACTGAGGGGTCATTATTTCCTTAGTAGTTAATACGAAATTTTTTCCGGAACGGTCTTCGTTCCCATACTTTTACCGATTACCGCCGGCAAAGACGAATTCTTCACCTTCCAGTGGTGCTGGTGTAATCGCTCAGTATGCTCTGCATATCTAGGATAGCCAAGAAGAATCGCAACCGAATCGAAGTCGAAAGCAAATACATGCATATCTCCATTTGACGACTTCTCAATCATGCAGCACTCACCATTACCTTCTGAGTCCTCAACCTCGATCTAACCGCACGTCATCTCACCTCGACGACCGATAAAGGCGTCACCCCAATTGCAAACATTTCATGGATAAACGTGGCGGAAACTAGGATGGCGTCTCATGGGGAGCTCCATTCTAAAACACAACTCGGGGTTACATCAAGTTCTCAAACAATCAGGACAGGCTCAGGAACATAGGGTCGTTTCATAGGGATTGCGTAGTAATACTGTTCGAGACAGAGCTTAGGGCTGTCCTATTATCTGATGTACATATATACCCAGCTTGAAGGAGTATTCTTCTTCACGCAACATCTTCTGTTTATACTCATACCTATTGTTTACGTACTGTCACAGGGCGAAGGTACGAAGAACGAGGTAAATATTATATATGAGTTGTGCGATGAGAAGGGAAGAGTATATCTAGCTACACGAAGGTCTTTGGAGGCTCAGTTATCGCTTAATCTCAAACCACGCCAACAACCATTCTACTACCATGACACGTACTTATCTCTTCTCTAAAGAAGACCGCCGTTATTGCACCCTCCCCATCTATCGCTTATTTTACTTTTACCTCTTCCGTGAACCCTATACCTAACGCTGACTTTACACCTCCTACTCTTAGGAATCACCACCACACTCCACACCTGTAACCTACTTGTACCCAACTCGTACCCTACGGAATACCGATAACACAATGCCTTGAGAAAACAGGAGCTTGCCTCATTTATCACTGGCCATCACCCACTACAAATTTACGACGCTACGTATACCCACAAGGAGAAAATCAAGTCGTAATATACAAAGTTGGGGCCTTGGTTCATGGGGGACTGATGCTCTTATGGGATTATACATATTGAAGAAGGAAAGGCAGCTGAGATGAGGAGCGAGAGGGGGAACAGTTCTCTGAAGACCATGCTGGAACTGGAATTTTTGAGGGGTTTTCAACTTTGGATTTTTGTGGGCGCCATGACCAAGATTTCGGCTAATTAGCCAGGAGGGCTTCAATTGTCTATGAGTCAACGGCACTCCCAAGCGCCGTAGACGGCATAAAAGAAGTTATGCTAAGCTACCACATAGCAATCTCACTCTGTCAAGACTTTTCTGACATTACAGCACGACCTTCGGGAAGAAGTTGGAAGGAGGCTAGAAAGGCAGAGTGTGAATTTCCCCCGGTACCCACAAGTCTGCAGCGCCCAGCTGGCCGGCCTCTTCGAACGCTTCAGAAGGGGCACTATGTCTTCGGATTTAGTCCTAATGTCGGTATTAGAAGAGCCCCGCACCCAGTGGTTTTTGCGATTTTTCCCGGCTGCCATACGACCGCAAATGGCCATCGTTTCGTTGACCGAAGATGGGAGATAATGAAGGGCAAAGTGCTCCTCTAAGTGTATGATCGAATGAGGACTTGTGAGGGGTGGTACTGTTTGAGGGGAGCTGTATGGGAGGAATAGGAGGGGATATACTACTGGTATGGATATCCTTGGCCTGTAGGCAGAGAGAACCTACATGTCCTACAAAGTCATAGACTCAGATAGGACAATAAAATGAAATAATAATAATAATAATTTACCGATTACCCGATTATCGTCCTTCAACCTCTGAATATCGTCTTCGCCAGAGTTTTTTTGCGAGATTGGTGCCAACAATGCTGCCAAAAAAGGGAATTTCTGTGGAGCAACGACGTGCTCTGCGACGATGGGCACACCGCCAGGTCCCAGAACCAACATAAAAACAGTGCATTGAGAGGTTCTTAGCTGAGTACGGCCATCGATTAAGCCAGTCCACAGTCTCCGAGTCCTTGAGCGAGACCTTTGCTAAACTCGACGAAGCTCCAAGTACTACTGCGCTACAACAGCGAGCTGGAAACTGGCCTAACATTGGGAGTATCAGGGCGATGAAAGACGGCAAATGGGAGAATATGAGAGGCATCAAAAGTACAAAGTAGCCTAGATAGCTGAATTAGATAATGATATCCTTTTAAACAATATCCCCTCTAAGGCGATATTTTTGACGGCCCGATTACGTCATCTTAACAGGGGTATGACTGTACAATGCCTCTAGGTTCCAAAAGGTAAAACTTCAAACTGGGTCGTTGAAGGGATTAGCCCTGTAGGCGCAGTTGGGCTAGCTCATAATAGGTTAGTATGTCTCTCTTCCTTACCCCGCTCGCCATGAAGTATGGTCCAATTGTCTTGTTCTAATAATCGCTTAGAGAGACACATTTTCAACGATATTTTCGACTGTACAACCATTAATCATTAATACCACTACCAATTCATCCTCTATTCTAGCAAATATTGTCTCTCGAAAAGTCTGCTTCAGAAACTAAAGTTCGCAAGCATCTAACTAGCGATCAATGTATAGAAATAAGAGCATTAAGAAGACTTGGCTTGACACTTCAAAATATATCCGACAAACTTGGCTTCACAATAAGACAAGTACTACTTGCGTGTGCTCGAGAGACTGAGAATTCTGTGTCTCGCAAT